TGGAGCCCTTCAGTCCTCAGGCTGAGGCTCTATCCACTGAGCCAAACCAGCTAAGGCTTTTCCTTCCTTGTTTTACTGGCGGTCCACCAGCCACTGCACATAAAGCCATCACCCTTTGATGAAACGCAAGGAGGACACTTCCCTGACTATGGAACCCAGGGGCACGGCCTCCTTGGTCCCGCAGCCCACAGCTCAGCTCCTCCCAGGACTCGGGGAGAGGAGGTGAAACTCCAAGCGGCAGCTGCAGCCTTGCCCAGCTCCCAGTTCTCCCAGATACGCTACTTGCTCTGAGTCCTAAACTCAGGATCTGCTTGGCAGAAACCAGGGCCTAGACACGCGGAGCCGGCCGCCGGCTTCCTGAGCCATCCATGCCTTGGAGGCCACCTGAAGGGTCCCCTCCCCGAAACGCACTCTGAAGCACTCATCAGAAACAGCTGCTCCTTCCCGGGCTTTCCTTTCTGTTTCACGGGGCAGAATGGCCAGAAGCTGATCTCTGCTGCCAAGGTCTGAATGTTTGCATCCGTCCCCCCAAATTCCTATTTGGAAATCCTAACCCCGAAGGCATATTAGGAGGTGGTCCTTTAGGGGGTGATTAGTTTATGAATTTTGAGCTCTTATGAATGAGATGAATGTGTCATAAAGGAACCCCACCCCCAGAGAGAGCTCTCTCCCAACTCTGCCAGGTAGGGCCCAGTGGGAAGCTGCCAGCCCTGAGCCAGGAAATGAGCCCCACCAGACACTGCAGCTGCCTTAGCACCTTGATCTCGGCCCTCCCAGGCTCCAGAACGGAGAGAAATAAATGTCTGTCTTTGAGCCATCCGTTCTGTTAGAGCAGCCTGGATGGACTGGGACACTGGCTGGACTCTCAGGCCCCAGTGGGATCGCTAAGAGACTGAACGGACGCTCCAAGCAGAGAGATGCTTCTATCCCTCTGTCGGACTGAGAGAAAACAGGTCCCTGATCCCAAAGGACCAGAGAAAAAAGGGCCAGAGGGCGCACAGAGTTGGGGTGCAGCCCTGCCTCCACCTTCCCTGTCAAGAAATCACTGCTGGGACATGAAGGACGCTCTCAGGCCCCCCGCCCTGCCAACAGGCCAGAGAACTCTCTGTTCAATGCGAAATCCCTCGTTACTTCAACTTGTATGACATCTAAGCCTCGTTTTATAAATGCCACCCAAGAATGTCTTTACTTAAAATTTCCCCAGTTGTTCATGGTGAGAAGTCAGTGCAGATGGATGGGGAGGAGAACACATGGATTGCCTGAAATGAGTGTGCAATCCCGGCAGGTCCCTGGGTCTCCCCGTGGGGCAGGTTCCTTAGCAAAGAGCTGCACGGGATGGAGGAGGGCCTTGAAGAGGCCACCACACTCGGCTAATGAAAACTGCCTGGAGCTTTTTACAATGACAGTGAAGAAGGTGTCAAAAGCTAAAGAAGGTGTCAGAAGCCCCATCTCTCCCAAAGCCGAAGCCAAACCAAGGGCTTTGAAGGCACAGAAAGCAGTGCCAAAAGGCGTCCACAGCCACACAAAGAAGATCCCCACGTCACCCACCTTCAACCACCTTCCGATGGCCAGAGACCTGAGGCTCTGCAGGCCGCCCCATGTTCTGGGGAAAGCCACCAGGAGAAACAGCCTGCCCACTAGGCCGTCATCCATTCCCCGACCAGAGTCAGCCCGGGAGAAGAAAGAAGAAAGCGTACACTCATGTTCACTGTGGATGCCAAGGCCAACCAGCACCAGCTCAGACAGGCTGTGAGGAAGCTCTATGACATTGATGTGGCCAAGGTCGGCACCCTGAAGAGGCCTGATGGCGAGAAGAAGGCGTATGTTCGACTGACTCCTGACGATGATGCTTTGGATGTTGCCAACAAAACTGGGATCATCTAAACTGAGTCCCACTGCCCAATAGTAAATATAAAAATTTTACACTGTTAAAGGAAGGGAGGGAGGGAGGGAGGGAGGGAACAACCTGAAGAGACCTCAACAGAAAGACACTGCAGCCTCTAAGACCATTAGTTGGCAAAGGCATGGTGAGGTACCAGTGGATCAAGCTGGAGAGCCGAAACTGAGGCAAACCGCCTAAGGATCTAGCGCCCACCAGGGGACGCGACGTTAAGAAAATGTTATATACTCAAGGTTTCATCTACCAGCTTCTCTTAAGCTGAATACAACTTGCCATTCTCTCCCCAAATGTTCTTCCTTAGGGAGGTAAACATGGAAGAGCAGAGGCGATATTTTCATTCTAAGACCTTCCTCTTGCCTTTCCTTAGTTTCAAACAGCCAGCAGCCCTGTGGAAAGGGAGGGCTGCGGCACTGGGCGAAGGCTGAGCCAGGAGGGGTTCTCCAGGAGGCGCCCCTGTGCTCCCGCGGCTGACCCCACCATTCATTCCACACCCAGGACCAGTCCACGCCGGCCCCCACATTCCACTTCTCTTGCCAGGGCTGAGGTTAGGCCCACCCAACCCAGACCAGGAGGGCGCCTACATGCGGGGCCCACGCTCAGAGCTTCTGATATAGCAGGCAGGAGGTGGAGCCTGGACCCTGCATTTCTAACACGTGCCTGAGGGCTGCCGATCCAGGGCCCACACGGGTGAGCACCAGTTCGGACACAGACAAGCGATTCTTAGAGGAGACTGTGCTGAGGGAGTTCTGGCGAAGGCTTCTCAGCTCATAAGGAGACAATCCTCTTGTCTGCTGGACTGTTCATGCAACAGAGATGTCCATTTACCTGCTCTGTCCAGTACAATAGCCACTAGCCACAGGTGGTCAGGCAGCACTTGAAATGTGGTTAGCGTGACTGTTGAAACTAGAAATTTTACTTCATTTTAATTATTTTGAATATTTTTTATATATTTTATTGATTTTACACAGAGAGGAATTGAGAGGGACAGAGAGTTAGAAACATTGATGAGAGAGAAACATTGACCAGCTGCCTCTTGCACACCTCCCACTGGGGATGTGCCCGCAACCAAGGTACATGCCCTTGACCGGAATCAAACCCAGGACCCTTCAGTCTGCAGACCGACGCTCTATCCACTGAGCCAAACCGGTCCCGGCTTAATTATTTTGAATTTAAAAGCCACCTATGGCCTGTGGCTCCCATAATGGACATCACTGTCCCCATCAGCCACCTGGACTGAGGGGGGAGGACACCACACTTTGGATGCTCACTTCCTACTGTTCAAGGTCATGCATTCCTTTATTGTTTAAGGCGGTATGAGTCGGTAACCCCTGTTGCTGCAGCCATGAGGACATTCACATAAGCCCGTGAAAAAGTGGAGCTAGCCACCCAAGGATGCGTCACCTGCATGCAGAAGAGCAAGAGAAGCGAACCCTGTTCCTGTGAACTGAAGAGGGCTGGACCTGAGGGATGCACCCCGGTCTTGCAGCACTCAGATCTGGACACAGCGTGCTTCCCCTCTGCCTGCTCACAAGACCTGGGGACACTGCCGACCCCTCCATCCCAAGGACCACCAGTGTGTGCAGAACTAAATGGTGGGCTACTGGCAAGGCTCCTTCCAGGCATGCGAGGTCTGGAAAAACACCTCCTGCTCTAGCTCACCGTGGTTTAAGCAAGGCCACTCTCTGGAGCTCCCTTTTAAAATGCAAATGCTCCCAGGAAAGGTGCTGGGTTAGGCCTTGAAGTGTGGACGTGCAGCTGAATAAGTTAGATCATTGTACCTTGTTTCCAAGGAACAGGAAGCCGGAAAAGGGTGAAGCATGAGAGAGGAGGCCACGGGTACAAACTCAGGACTCAACCAGGTCACAGCTTTACAAAAGCCGCACCTCACTGCTCTCCTTATCCCACCTGCACACCCCATGTGCTTCCTGAAAGCCAGTCCCAAGTTCGAAATTCCGGCAATCCATCATGCAATCAATGTGTCTCCGGGAGCAGGAAGGATAATGTGATAGAGCCTCGGGAGCTCTGAATTATGGTCCCAGAAGAGTCCTCCCTGAGCCCTACACAAGAGGAGGGAACCTGTGAGGGGCTGAAGTTTGTCTTCCAAAAAGATGCTCAAGTCCTAATCCCTTGTAAATGTGAATGTGACCTCATTTGGAAATACGGTAAGAAGGGCCCCCAAGCCAATATGACTGGTGTCCCGTTAAGAGGAGAAACTGGAGAGACACAGAGCGAGCATCATGTGAGGAAGAAGGCTTGGACAGACTGGGTGATGCACCTACCAGCCAAGGAGCATCGTAGACTGCTAGCAGCCGCCAGCAGCCAGGAGAGGCCCAGAACAGACCCTCCCCTGGACCCGTCAGAGGGGTGCAGCCCTGCCAATACCACACCTTGGCCTCAGACCTCTAGCCTCCAGAACTGCGAGAGAATCCCTTTCTGTCGTACAAGCCACACTGTCTTGGTACTTCCTATGGCAGCCATAGCAAATGAATATATAGTAGTACCCCTACTGTACCTGTCTTCCCTTCTGATTACTCTGGCCTCACTTTTTGTACACTTGTGTAACTGCCCGTCCCCGCCGCCGCCTCCCCAGAGACCCTAAGATGCACAAGCACGGGGACCACACCAGTGGTCACCACCACATCCCAAGCCCACTTCTGGCACCTGGAGGGGTCTCAGCTGTCACCCCGAGAGCACACAGCTAGCAAGGCCTGTCCCCCGCTAACCCTCCACAAGCTCTGGAATCTCTGGCGAGAGACTCTCCTCCCTGAGTGGAAATCTCCCTGTAGGAAGGGTGGCCTTGGTGGGGCACAGGGGAGCTCACTGAGAAGTCCTGTGCCCTGACAAGTGAAGAAACAGCTAAACATGTGCCTCCCTCGGCACCCACCACCCTTCCATGGCCAGAGCCAAATTCCTGCCCTCTGCACGAAGACGACACATTGCTGACGAGAAAATGAAAATGAATTAACAGAAGATGAGCCCCTGAGTAATATCAAAGGTGAGGGCCAGCTTCCCATCCCATGGACCCGGGGCTGCCCTGGCTCGCACCCAGACCCTGGCCCGCCGGCTCTGCAGGAAGGAGGAGCCGGGAGGTGGTACTCACCCACACTGCTGAGGGAGCTGCTGCTCTCGGAGTCAGAGGGCATGATGGACAAGACGCTGTATGTGGAGCCTGGGGGCAGAAAGGGAGAGCATTTGTTACTAACCCCAAGGGGCCTCCTGTCTATACCCCAGACTACTGCCGGACCAGATGACCTTCAGTCATGGCCAGGCTGAGAACCAGCACTGAACCAGGGGCCAGAAACCGAATCCCAAGGGCCAGACGGGCAGGGCCATCAGCAGGGACAAGCCTTTGGTGTCTCTGCCTTGCCTCTGCCTCTTTCCGCAGCCTCAGCTCTGGAGGCTGATGTATGTGCAGGCAGAGTGGAACTTGAAATGCCAGCTGGCTTCCTACTGGGACATCTGGAGAAAGGCTCAGCGAGGGAGCAGCATGCCCAGGTTAAATGCAGTGAGGAGTCCCCACAGATTAGTATGGCTTCCATGCAGACAGTAGCAGCATAAATTGACCGTAGGTGAATTACGTATGGTTTATGCCGGACTACTCTGTTCTTAGTTCTAACTGTATTTAAGCTCAGTCCTTAATAATTTAGCCAGTGTCTACCCCCTTATTAAAAGTTATTCATCAAGAGAGAAACCAAGATGGCGGCATAGGTAAACATCTAAAATGCTGCCTCGCACAACAACTTCAAAACTACAACTAAAAGACAAATAGGACATCATCCAGAACCATAGGAAGGCTGGCTGAGTGGAAATTCTACAACTAGAAGGAAAAAGAAAAGCACACTGAGACTCGGAGAATCTGCAGGAGGCAGAGGTACTGAGGTACGAGCGCGTGTAGAAGACTGGCAACTGAGTGTGCAGCTAGCTTTCTCAAGCGAGAGGGAGACAAAAGCTCCCGACCGCAGTGAACTGCACAGACTCTGGGGACCTAGACTCATTTGGGGAGAAACTGGACTGTCTGGTGGCAGGCAGAACTTGAGGTCGGCTTTCCCTCAGAGGTGCTTGCAGTGATGATCACAGGACACTGAGACCCAGGGGGCTCTTAGGGCAGGGCTGACAAGAAACCAATGCTGTCTGTTCCACTTTGAGATTCCATCCCATCCAAGCTGAGCACAGAGAGGCTTTTGCAAGTCTTGTCTCATAAGAGTGTCTCCAGCACAGAAGTTCTCCCAGCATAGACACAGCTGATCCTCACAGTCAATTGGTCTGGAGGTCAATTCCTCCCAGTGATACCAACAACAATCAAGGCTTAACTACAACAAGACTGCGCACACAGCCCACAAAGGGGTGCACCAAGAGTGTCCACCTTAGATAACTGGGGAGGCTGAGCCACTGGGCCCTTTAGGACACCTAGCACACAAAGCCACTCTATCAACTCAGGGAAGCAGCCAAAATGAGGAGACAAAGAAACAGGTCACAAATGAAAGAAATGGAGGAAAGCAAACGACTGGATATAGAGTTCAAAACCACGGTTATAAGGTTTTAAATAATTTTCATACCCTCAAGGGTATGAAAAATGACCAACTAGAAATTAAGCATACACTGACTGAAATAAAAAATATTATAGAGATCTAACAGCAGACTAGAGGATCATAAGAATCAAGTCAAAGATTTGAAATATAAAGAAATAAAATCACTCAACCAGAAAAACAAAAAGAAAAAAGAATCCAAAAATATGAAGATAGTGTAAGGAACCTCTGGGACAATTTCAAGCATATCAATATCAGAATGATGGGGGTGCCAGAAGAAGAGAGAGAGAAAGATAATGAAAACCTATTTGAAGAAATAATGACAGAAAATTTCTCCCACTTAGTAAAAGAAATAGACTTACAAGTCCAGGAAGCACAGAGAACCCCAAACAAAAGGAATCCAAAGAGGACCACACCAGACACATTATCATTAAAATGCCAAGAGCAAAAAACAAAGAGATAATATTAAAAGCAACAAGAGAAAAAACAGTTAGTTACCTACAAGGGAGCACCCATATGACTGTCAGCTGATTTCTCAACAGAAACTATGCAGGCCAGATGGGAATGGCAAGAAATATTTAAAGTGATGAATAGCAAGAATCTACAACCAAGATTACTCTACCCAGCAAAGCTATCATTAAGAATTGAAGGGCATATAAAGAGCTTCACAGATAAGAAAAAGCTAAAGGAATTCATCACCACCAAACCAGTATTATATGAAATGCTGAAAGGTATTCTTTAAGAAGAGGAAGAAGAAGAAGAAAAAGATAAAGATAAAAATTATGAACAACAAATACATATCAATCAACAAGTGAATCTAAAAATCAAGTGAATAAAAAAATCTGAAGAACAAAATGAACTGGTGGATATAATAGAATCAGGGGCATAGAAAGGGAGTGGACTGACAATTCTCGCGGGAAAGGGGTGTGTGCGGTGCGGGAAGAGACTGGACAAAAACCATACACCTATGAATGAGGAAAGTGGGGAGGGGGTAAGGGTAGAAGGTCGGGTGGGAACCAGGTGGAGGGGAGCTATGGGGGGGAAAAAGAGGAACAATTGTAATAATCTGAGCAATAAAGCTTTATTAAATTAAAAAAATAAATAAATAAATAAAAGTTACTCATCAAGTTTGGAGCAATTACGCTGTCCTCGAAGCCAGGGAGTAGCACCTTTCGTTGTTGTTGTTGTTTGTCAACACAATGTTATAGACACACAACTCCCGGCTACAGACACAAAACTAATATGGTTTGGTTTGAATTCCATTATTTTCAGACAGGATATTCACACCTAGCATCAGGAAAAACCTCCGGGTAAGGAAACCTAGTTTCTTTTCTTTTCTTTTCTTTTTTTTTAATATATTTTATTGATTTTTTACAGAGAGGAAGAGAGAGGGATAGAGAATTAGAAACATCGATGAGAGAGAATCATCAATCAGCTGCCTCTTCCGCACCTCCTACTGGGGATGTGCCTGCAACCAAGGTACATGCCCTTGACCGGAATTGCACCTGGGACCTTTCAGTCCGCAGGCCAACACTCTATCCATTGAGTCAAACCGGAAACCCAGTTTCTGAACTCAGCTTGTGTCCGGGCATGAGGAGCTGGGTGATGCTGAGCAAATCACTTCCATTTTCTGAAACTCTGTCCTGGTCTGGAAGATGAAGCATTCAGTCAAGCGGCTTAGTCTTATGGGGTCCTGCACCTGCCCCACCTCAGCGATTCCACTCTCTACTGATGAATGGGAACAGAAGCTGTGCCTTGCTTATCAAGACTATGGGTGACACCGAATTAAGAGCGTAAACAGACTGAGAGACTAAACTGGAACTTTAAAAAAAGCACAACGCGCAGAGATGGCGGGTCAATCAAAACAAGATAATGGAGGAATTCGATGTTTTCTTTCTTGGAACTAAAAGAAACTATAATGAAGAGGAGTGTGTACTGGGCATGGTGGGTGAGCCCAGGATGGGATTTTAGCAATAAAGCCTTTGAACAAGACTTAGGATTTAAGTGTCAGAAAGTGTCCAAGAACTAATCTCTAGGGCTCCAGGACCAGAAATGTGGGGCCAAATTGAAGGGGTTCACTCCCAACTTGATTCTTGACTAGCCATCCCATACATGCCACACATACTCAGAAGGGGGAGAAAAGAGAGATGGGAGTAGACTGAGGGAGAGGAGGGGAGGGAGCAGGAGAGGCCCCAGAGGAAGGAGAAAATTGGGGGGGGGGGGGGAAGACCACACATGGAGGGCAGAAAGATGGACAAGCGGGGCATCTGAGCCAGCAGGTGTGCCCCCACGAAAACAGATGAAAGGAGAGAGAACGAAGAGAAGAAAAGGGGGACTTTGGCAATGGCAGAAACTAGAACAGTGGCCAGGGAAGACCAGTGCCCTCATTATCACATTTTGTGAGACTCTCTGAAGAACCTACAGGTGTTACGCGTGGATTGGAGAGAATGAGTTGGGGGCTGGGCCGGTGTTCTGACTTCAAATAGGACTGTCAGAAGGGACTCCATTGGTTTCACATGGTCTCCCGCAGCAGCGCTGGGAACAGCAGGGGGATGTGGAGAAAGCTCCAGGCCAGGGTGGCCAGGCAGTCCGTGCTGACCCAAGCAGCCCTGGCTGGGAACCAGAGGGGTCTTGCCACCATCAGAAAGAGGCTAGAACCAGAAAACCCTATTCAGTCCTGAAGTTCCCTGGAGCTACTAAGACATGAATAGCAATGTTCAAAAAAGTGCCTCCTGTATTTTTTTAAATATATTTTTATTGATTTTTTTACAGAGAGGGGGAGAGAGGGATAGAGAGTTAGAAACAGCGATGAGAGAGAATCATCGATTAGCTGCCTCTTGCACACCCCCTACTGGAGATGTGCCCGCAACCAATGCCCTTGACCGGAATCGAATTCGGGACCTTTCAGTCCGCAGTTTGACGCTCTGTCCACTGAGCCAAACCGGTTTTGGCTATCTCCTGTATTTGAAGTTCAACCCACACTGAATTTATTTTACTGTCCATTCAACACCTCTGCATTTTTTGTTTTAAACAATGAGCATCACAAACTTCTCAAATGATCTCTCTTCCCAGATCAGAAATGTCGAGTGGTGTGTAGGGATCCATGAAATAAAGTCAGATGCAGTTCAGGCAGACCATGACATCTTCAAAAGAACAAGAGGGCAGCACAATGCCTATTTTTAAACCAAATCGCCATTTTCTCAATTATTTCTTTCATTTATGGGGGCAAGGAAGGCTTGCCAGCTGGTAGGCTGGTGGACTGTTTTCAAAAGCCGCCAACTCAGAAAAGCCCCCACTCACACCTCCAGGTTCTCTGAGTTCAAGCCAGCCCTGCCTGTAGCTTGGCGGACAGGGCGCCCATGCTCTGCTGGGCGCTCCCTGCAGTAACGCCTCGCTCCTTCCTCAGACTGGCATCGGCAGTGCCCCATCTTCCAGTAAACAGCCCCTCCTCTGCAGATGGTCTCTCTCCTTCCCTGTGGCGAGTTTCCACTGTTAATTAAACTTGGCAGGCAGCCTTCTCTCTCCCCGCCCATCTCCCACCCCAGCTGGGGACATCAACTGGCCAACCCACCCATTCTGTGCCTCTCCCCTGTCCCCGCAGTCCGTCCTGTCCATCCTGCCGGAGCTCTGGGGCCTGACCCGG